CGGGGCGGGGGTGGGGGGCGGGGGTGACCCTGTCGTCTGCTCTGCACACAGACTCCCAGCTGGCTGTCACTCTGAGGTGCACGTTTCCCTTCCCCCTCCGTCAGCCCCGGTATTCTGGACCCACCATCTCAGCAGTGCACAGGATGGGCTCTCTCCATCGTCACGGCGCCTCTCGTCCCCATTCCCACGTGCCAAAGGACTCGCTCTCATTCTCCCTATGGGCCACCGTCTCCTACGCCTTCCAATTCCCTGACGGTGACTGAACGGGCCAGGAGAGGGAGGAGGAGGAGGAAAAGCGAATGTTCAGTTCATCACATTTAACCGGGACCTTGTAAGCGTACCCCTAAAAAACACAAAAACTATTCCTAATGTTGCTTTTTCCTTTGTTAAGGGAAGTCTCCTTTCCAAATCGCTGCAGGAACCAAGGAAGTTGCAAATGAACAAATAATGAAAACACATGACAGAAGATAGAACATTCCAGTAGAGCGAATAGTAAGATAATTTGAGCTAACTTGTTAAATGGCAAAGTCTATTTATTATGTGTCAAAGACAATTAAAACAAATGAAGTTAAAAAACTTGGAATGAAAGGATAAGCAAAGAAATATCAGATAAGTTTGTCGACAAAAATGCAGCGTGGCAATATTCTCATCAAAGTACGATTCAAGGAAAGAAGTATTCAGCAGATCTTATATTGATAATAGGTACAGACTATAAGGTGGAAAGTTTCGCAAAACAACAGCATTAAGACATAAAGCAAAAACTATTAGAAATACGAGAAAAATTTGCATAGGAGAAAAATAAGTAGGGAATTTTAACAATTAGTTTGAATTAACAAACTACAGAACAAACAATATAAACTTTAAAAACGGTCTTCTTATTGTTGTAAAAGGCTTGAGGCCACAAAGGAAAACTCAAAATGCACGAAGGAGAAATTTCACATAAATGATTTCTATCCACATATGTGGAAAAGAACAATAAGCCTTTCGATGAAATCCCTAAATGGTTGAAAAGTAAAAAAGCATCATTTCAGAAAGAAATTAGTTTCCTAAAATTATTCGGATTGAAGCAAACCTAAGGCAGACAGCTGGAGACGACTTAAGGTCATAACAATAGAGACGTCATTAAACCAAAGAGAGGGTAGTCGGTGTCACTCCTCAGAAACGCACGGCTTCAAAAGCTAAAAACACAGGCGCCAAGAGAACTAAACGCATAGAACTCCCCTTTAAAGTGGCTGATGAACACGACTTCTCCCCCAAATTAGAATGGTAAAACAAGATAAAAAGCAGATATGAATAATTCAGGAAACAGAAGAAATTACTGTAATAAAAGTTAGAGTAAAACAAACAAACAAAAAACTTTGAAAATATCTAATGAAGAAAATAACCCACACGATTAGAACGCCAACGTGGACATGTTTTTAGTTTGCTGTTTTCCTCTGCACCTGTTGGCCTACCCCGCTTCTCATTTCTCACGTGTATGGAGGACATCTGAAAATCTCAAAAAAAATAGATGATTTTGTTTTTCTAAAAAGAGCAAAGAGACGATCCCAATCGCCAAAGATGAAAACAGACAAATAACCACGAAAGAAAATAAAAAGACTGCTCAAGATAGTAA